AAGTTTGTCTGTGGGGTGCGAGCATTTTAGCACATATCTTTAGATCATTATTCAAAAGAGAAATAGACCTGAAATTCTGAGGAACATCCGGTGTCTTCTCTGGTTTTGGTGAGGTCACTATTAAAGCTTCTAGCATTTCTGAGGGGGAGGTGACTGAGGCAGCTGCATCATCGTATACTCTGTTGAGAAACAGTTCTCAGATATGTTTAAATTGTTTGTAGTTGTTAGGAATGGACTGGCCAGCAATGGTGGGACTCACCTGCCTTTTGATCTGCAGTACCAGGGCTGGCCAGCGGGTGTTCCCAGCAATCAGAGACTCAACCTTTCAGCCAGCTAACACCTGGAACTGATGATGCTGGGGTATTTAAGGGATGGCCAGACCCACAGACTCTGCCTTGGTGTTGTGTTTGTCCTGGGCCCTGTATCTGTCCTGCATCCTGTTCCTGTCCCTCTGCCTGACCCTCTCTACTACGCTGCTTGTTACCTGTTTTGATCTCTGGCTTGTGACCCTGACCATCCCTCTGCCTGACCCTCTGTACTACGCTGCTTGCTACCTGCTGAACCTGGCCTGTGACCCCGACCATTCTCTGCTTGCTCCCCCTGTACCTACCTGCCCAATTGATATTGACCCGGCCTGCCTGACGACGCTTGCTTGTATGTACTGTTATCTGTGGGTGGTTTGGTTTGGTTTGTTTGCACTGTATTATGTTTAGTATTGCACTGCGTTTATGTTTGTATGGTTAGTGTTAATAAATTGTATTGTTTATCACATATCTGAAGTCTGCGTTTCCCTGCTTCAGTCACACACCTCTGGTCATACCTGGGAGCCCTGACATTACACCAAGGCCAATCCTGACCAGAAGTGGCTGCACAGGGAAGCCATCTTTGGCTTGTTGATGGGAAGGATGGATCTTGATGAGGTTGAATATTTATATCTGCTAGTGTTTGATGACAGGGAGTATGCTTATCAAACTCTGAAGGAGTATACCCGGGATAAACTGCTAGAATGTATACGGCTCGCTCATGTTCTAGTAGATCAGGGCACAGAGTTCTCTGAGGTGCAGCCTTTGATTGAGGTTTGTGCTGAGTTGGTTTCATCTGGTTCCCCCGAATGCAGGGATGAATTTTTGCCACCATTTAGTGCAGACCAGGTAGAGTCCCTGGTGTGGGTTATTAGAGGATGATGTGGGTTACTTTCTGGAGCGTTATTCCACATGTTCACCACAGACACTAAGAGATTGTATAAACGCAGTGCAGTCATTGACCAGACAGGCTTTGTGTAAGCTCAGCTTTGTTCAACCCATACTGCAGACATGGACAGATTTGTTGCACCCAGCCTCAGTCAGCTTACAAAGACCCAGTCCTGCTTCTAATCTATTTCCTCAAAGCTCTATTCCTGCATTCCCAACAGCTCCTCCTGCCCTGCTATCTACCGCATGTCAGTACCCTGTTCCCACTCGCTGCACCTATCCTGCCTTTAACCCTGTAAAAGAGCCCTCTGTAGCAACCGCTCCCTCTCCTGTTCCATCCTCCAGTTCTTCTCTGTCTCCAGCTGCTCCATTCGTTTGCAGACCTGCGTTTACTTGCAGTGCTCCAGTAGTTAAAACCAGAAAAAAGCGAAAATTCTTTCCAACCAATACCATCCTGCCAGTATCCAAACCGGTGAACCTGCCTTCCGTGGTTCAGCCTGAAGCCTCTACTCAGCCTGAAGCCTCTACTCGGCCTGATGCCTCTACTCGCCCTGAAGCCTCTACTCGGCCTGAAGCCTCTACTCGGCCTGATGCCTCTACTCGGCCTGATGCCTCTACTCGGCCTGAAGCCTCTACTCGGCCTGATGCCTCTACTCGGCCTGATGCCTCTACTCGGCCTGAAGCCTCTACTCGGCCTGATGCCTCTACTCGGCCTGAAGCCTCTGAAGCCTCTACTCGGCCTGAAGCCTACTCGGCCTGATGCCTCTACTCGGCCTGATGCCTCTACTCGGCCTGAAGCCTCTACTCGGCCTGAAGCCTCTACTCGGCCTGATGCCTCTACTCGGCCTGAAGCCTCTACTCGGCCTGAAGCCTCTACTCGGCCTGAAGCCTCTACTCGGCCTGAAGCCTCTACTCAGCCGGACGCCGGCATTCAGCCTGATGCCTCTACCCAGCATGATGAACTGATCCAGCCTGACGATCCTATTAGGCCAGTTGACTCGATGCCCGCTGTTGATCCAGATGATCCGGTACCTGATCCGGTGCCCGCTGTCGAGCCAAATGACCTGATGCCTGGTGACCCAGTGCCCGCTGTCATACCTGGTGACCCGATGCCCGCTGTCGAGCCAGACAATCCGGTACCTGATGACCCGGTGCTCACTGTCGTGCCTGTTGACTCGGAGCCCACTGCCTTGCCAGATGACGCGGTGCCCGCTGTCGAGCCAAATGACCTGATGCCTGGTGACCCAGTGCCCGCTGTCCAGCCAGACGATCCAATGTCTGACCCAGTGCCCGCGGTCATACCAGTTGACTCGGAGCCCACTGCCTTGCCAGATGACGCGGTGCCCGCTGTCGAGCCAAATGACCTGATGCCTGGTGACCCGATGCCCACTGTCCAGCCAGACGATCCAATGTCTGACCCAGTGCCAGCGGTCATCCCAGTTGACTCGGAGCCCACGGTTGTGCCTGGTGACTCGGTGCCCGCCGCCCCCCGCCTGGGGGCCTGAGACCTGTCGTTCCGCCTGGGGGTCCGGCGCCCGCCACTCCGCCTGAGGGTCCGAGACCTGTCGCTCCGCCTGGGGGTCCGGCGCCCGCCGCTCCGCTTGAGGGCCCGAGACCTGTCGCTCCTCCTGGGGGTCCGGCGCCCGCCGCTCCGCCTGAGGGCCCGAGACCTGTCGCTCCGCCTGGGGGTCCGGCGCCCGCCGCTCCGCCTGAGGGCCCGAGACCTGTCGCTCCGCCTGGGGGTCCGGCGCCCGCCGCTCCGCCTGAGGGCCCGAGACCTGTCGCTCCGCCTGGGGGTCCGGCGCCCGCCGCTCCGCCTGAGGGCCCGAGACCTGTCGCTCCATCTGGGGGTCCGGCGCCCGCCGCTCCGCCTGAGGGCCCGAGACCTGTCGCTCCGCCTGGGGGTCCGGCGCCCGCCGCTCCGCCTGGGGGCACGATGCCTGTCGCTCCGCCTGGGGGTCCGGCCCCGCCGCTCCGCCTGGGGGGCACGATGCCTGTCGCCCCCTGGGGGCCCGATGCCCGGTCGCCCTGCCTGGGGGCCCCTGGCGCCCCCCGCCCCACCTGGGGGCCCGACGCCGTCGCCCCGCCCGGGGGCCCGGTGCCTGCTGCTGCCGCCCCTCCGGGGGCCCGTGCCTGTCTGCTCCACCCGGGGGGCCCGGTGCCTGCTGCTCCGCCCGGGGGCCCGGTGCCTGCTGCTCCGCCCGGGGGCCCGATGCATGTCGCCCCGCCCGGGGGCCCGGTGCCTGCTGCCCCCCCCGGGGGCCCGGTGCCTGCTGCCCCGCCCGGGGGCCCGGTGCCTGTCGCCCCGCCCGGGGGGCCCGGTGCCTGCTGCTCCGCCCGGGGGCCCGTGCCTGCTGCTCCGCCCGGGGGCCCGGTGCCTGCTGCCCCGCTCGGGGGCCCGGTGCCTGCTGCTCCGCCCGGGGCCCGCTGCCTGCTGCCCCGCCCGGGGGCCCGGTCGCCCCGCCCAAGGGCCCGGTGCCTGCTGCTCCGCCCGGGGGCCCCGGTGCCTGCTGCTCCGCCCGGGGGGGCCCGGTGCCTGCTGCTCCGCCCGGGGGCCCGGTGCCTGCTGCTCTTGATCGCCTGGTGGCCCGCTGCCTGCTGCTTCGCCTGGTAATCCGATGTGCCTCTGCCCGGAGTCCTGCCCGATGTGCCTCTGCCCGGAGTCCTGCCGATGTGCCTCTGCCCGGAGTCCTGCCCGATGTGCCTCTGCCCGGAGTCCTGCCCGATGTGCCTCTGCCCGGAGTCCTGCCCGGAGTCCTGCCCGATGTGCCTCTGCCCGATGTGCCTCTGCCCGGTGTGCCTCTGCCCGATGGTGCCTCTGCCCGGTGTGCCTCTGCTCGATTGTGCCGCTGCCCGGAGTCCAGCCCGGTGTGCCCGCTGCCCGGAGTCCAGCCCGGTGTGCCGCTGCCCGGAGTCCAGCCCGGTGTGCCGCTGCCCGGAGTCCTGCCCGTGTGCCAGTCTTTGATATCCCGCCAGTTACCAGACCCGGCGGTGGAACATTTTGCCCAGCTAGGACTGTTTGGAGCGTCCTGAGGCCGCTCCTTGGGGGGGGGTTCTGTTAGGAATGGACTGGCCAGCAATGGTGGGACTCACCTGCCTTTTGATCTGCAGTACCAGGGCTGGCCAGCGGGTGCTCCCAGCAATCAGAGACTCAACCTTTCAGCCAGCTAACACCTGGAACTGATGATGCTGGGGTATTTAAGGGATGGCCAGACCCACAGACTCTGCCTTGGTGTTGTGTTTTTTCCTGGGCCCCCTGTATCTGTCCTGCATCCTGTTCCTGTCCCTCTGCCTGACCCTCTCTACTACGCTGCTTGTTACCTGTTTTGATCTCTGGCTTGTGACCCTGACCATCCCTCTGCCTGACCCTCTGTACTACGCTGCTTGCTACCTGCTGAACCTGGCCCGTGACCCCGACCATTCTCTGCTTGCTCCCCCTGTACCTACCTGCCCAATTGATATTGACCCGGCCTGCCTGACGACGCTTGCTTGTATGTACTGTTATCTGTGGGTGGTTTGGTTTGGTTTGTTTGCACTGTATTATGTTTAGTATTGCACTGCGTTTATGTTTGTATGGTTAGTGTTAATAAATTGTATTGTTTATCACATATCTGAAGTCTGCGTTTCCCTGCATCAGTCACACACCTCTGGTCATACCTGGGAGCCCTGACAGTAGTACTCTCCAGTAAGGCCGTTAGATCCAGGAGATACTGTATATTGTTAGGTAATGTGTCTATAACCCGAATAATTTCAGTTATCAAAAAGGAAGCATTCAATTCCTGAAGTTGTACAGAAGATAAGTGTAGCAAGTTAAAGTGGTGTAAAGGCTGAAGGTTTTTTACCTTTATACATTCTATGCATGAAGGTAAAAATCTTTCTGTGTGCAGCAGTGCCCCCAGCCCCCTCAATACTTACCTGAGCCCCATCGAGATCCAGCAATGTGAATGACAGCCGAGACTGTTGTGAGTCTCTGCCTCCTCTTCTGCTGAGACAGCAAGTGGGAGCCATAGGCTCCCGCTGCTGTCAGTCACAGCCAGTCAACCAATGAGGAGAGAGAGGGAGCAGGACCAAGCTGCTGCTCTGTGTGTGAATGGACACACGGAGGAGCGGGTGCCCCCATAGCAAGCTGCTTGCTGTGGGGGCACCTGAGAGACAGGAGGAGCCAGGAGAGCCTGCGGGGGACCCGAGAAGAGGAGGATCCAGGTTTCACTCTGCAAAACCACTGCACACAGTAGGTATGTTTAGACATATTTGTTATTTTACAAAAAAGAAAATTAACCTTTAGAATCGCTTTAAGTTCAGCTAGAAATGTATGTATATCAGCTACGGAAGGTTGTGTTGAATGGGTATTGTGACATAAGTCATAGAGAGAACTGTAATATTCACTGGAAACATCTGCAATGTGTTGGGGGTCAAATACCCTATCTTTAAATGCAGGGTTAACTAGATATTGAACGTTCTTTGACATGGTAAAAGTGGATATAAAGTAAGACATCTCTTGGGACATGGTCTGGTGTATGGGATATGGCCTTGTTTGGGTCTGTGGGTCCATGTGAAGCGGTGTCAGTAGAGTCTCCCTTAGGCATGCGTACCCACGCAGTGCCAGTGTTTGCATTTAGACGGCGGAGGTTGGGTGAGCTAAAAGTACAAATGTTTTATATCCAAATGAATGCTGCATTGCTAGTATTGTTGTGCCTTGCTCCCTGCAGCTGCTGTGCATACCCTGAACTTCTCCAGAGGTAGTACTCTGCATAACAGGTGCACAAAGTAATACTTTGTTCACACATGGCATTAGCCTGTTGGTGACTCCTTATATTTGCTTTACTATTGTGCCATTATGTCAACTCCATAAAAAGACCAGCATTCCCAGAGAAGGCACAGGACTCGCATGACTACTGTAGACAGCTATTGCCTGTTGGAGTATAACATCCTTTTATATTTGTTTGTGCTCTCCAGTTTCCCAGTAAAAAAAAAAGGTCTTTATGATGTCAACAATTTCATTAGGTAGTGTGAGTACATTTCTCAAATATTTCAGTTTTTACCTTTTTGTTGCTCTTCTACAGAAAAAAAAAACAAGAACAACTTTTCAACATGTCCTGCTCCCTGGCAGGGTGAGGTTTGGTTTATTAACCACCTGGTGATCTTATGGCTGTAGTTGGAAGCTGCAGTATCAACCACCCTCTAGCAGTAGTTAACCCTTTAGGTTTGTTACTAAACAAGCTATTTCTACTGCATTTAATTATTTTTTTGGAGGTGTCTTATTAAGCGGCAGGCAAAACCCTGTGAAAGGATTATCTATTCTGGCAATGAGCAGTCTCAGAGATTTCCAAAGCAAAACAGCCATCTTTTAGTCTCTTCAAAAAAGAAAATGCGGATGAACATGACTGTATTAATCTTGCTTTGTTCAAGCAACCAGAAATGAGAATGCTGACACCTAACATCTTAGAAGGTGAAGCCTAAATTAACAGTGGTCAGTTTGGCTTCCTGCCTCAAGATGAACATCTGTTGAGTTAAAGGAGACCAAAGTTCAAGAGTCAGTTTCCAATCTCACTTCAGATAGGGTAGCTTTTGCATTTTCTGGCTGGGAGTCCAGGAAAAATTGGTGAGCCAGCACATAACCCAAGAGGTCAGTGAAGAGCTCCATGTCAGGATACTTTCTGGTAATTTGGGGATTGTACCACCCATACATGTCTCACAGTGGCTTAGTGGTTAGCACTTCCACCTGGCAGTATTAGGGTCATTGGTTCAAATCCCTGCCTGGAGTTTGCATGTTCTCCCTGTGCCTGCGTGGGTTTCCTCCAGGTACTCTGGTTTCCTCCCACACTCCAAAGACATGCAGGTAGGTGAATTGGCTCCTGTCTAAATTGGCCCTACTATGTGTTTGTATGAATGTGAGTTAGGAACCTTAGCTTGTACACTCCTTGAGGGTTAGGGACTGATGTGAATGTACAATATATATGTAAAGTGCTGTGTAAATTGACAGCGCTATACAAGTACCTGAAATAAATAAATGGGCACTTGGTGGCTCCTCTTTAGACATAGGTACAGCCTTCGAAATAGACACATGATCCATCAAGGGAAGCATTTCAGGCCATATTTGGGAGACCTTTTATTCCTCGGGTCTCAGATTGGGCCACATAAATTGCCTTGCTCCAGCAGATCAGGTAGGCTCAGTTGAACTTTCACCCCCCCTTCAAGTCGGGTTTCTGGACCAGTGGCAGTAGGAGGGGGCCTAGGTCAGAAGATATGGATTACACCTTATATGAAAGCAAGACTAAACTTGCGGTTGGAGATGTAGAATCTTTTGAAATATCTTTCCCGTCTGACAACCTAGCTACTGGTGGTGCAGTTAGACACCAACAAAGTGGTTGGGGAGCCATAATTCAGGAGCAATGGGCTCAGGACCAATCGCCTTTTTCAAGGGTCCAAGAAGGTGTCCAACATCCTGGAGTTGAGGATGGCATTTCAGGCTTTCCTAGCTTTCAGTGACCTCATCCGGGATGGACCTGTCCTGGTGAAGTTAGACGGCACAACGGCTGTGGCCTACAGTTTATCCGGAAACAAATGGCACTCACAGTCTCTCCCTTCTGAATGTTTTCTCCCATTCTAGAGTCAGCCCCCCCTTCCTTCCTCCTGCAGTCTTCTGGGACACTGCAAAAGGTCCCAGAAGACTTCTGGACCAATCAGGATTCACAGAGCGACTCGCGCATGCGCAGTGGGCACCTGGCTGTGAAGCCACAAACTGTCACAGCCTAGTGCCTACAGTTGAGATGGGAGAGAAGAAGGGAAGAAGGGACCGTGTGGGTGAGCACATCAGTGAACCCTGGGACAGGTGAGTGTGTGTTTATTAAAAAGTCAGCAGCTACAGTTTTTTTTTTCGCTGACTTTTAATAAACACAAAAATAACTGGAACTCTGCTTTAACAATTAACAAATTGAATGTAACATTTTATAAAAACATTATGAAAAAGTTTTAATGAAATTCTACTAGTGTATGGTCAGCTTAAGGTAGAATTTCATGCAAAACCTAACAAGTCTTAAAAGTGCATCTCCCTCCTAACACCTATTCTGACTAACCTGTGCAAGAAGGATCAGCATACTTACCTATTTTCAGGCCGCTTCAGTCTGGTCACATTAACCCACCTGTGTCAGCCAGAGGTGGCTGCAGAGGTGAGGAGAGAGTGCTTAACAATGGCTGGAATACCTGCGAGCAGTGGCAACACCTACAGGCTCCTTTGACCCATCCATTTTCTGCACTTCCTCCTTTCCCCTGCAGCCATCTCTGGCTAGAAGAGAGGAATCAAAACTTGTGACTAGACTAGAACAGCCTAAAGATAGATAAGTATACTGACAGGTTAGTCAAATAGGTGTTAGACGGGGGAGGGAGTATTTTTAAGGCTGGTTAGGTTTTGCATGGAATTCTACCTTCAGTCAAGACCTATTTATAGTGTTCACTCAGCTTGGATGAACCCCTATAAAACAATGGGCTAAGGACTTTAGGTATTGCAGATACTTTGTAGTGTCCACTTTTCCAGGCTTTTAAAGAGAAACATTTATTTCGGAATTCAACTTTGGAATAAACTGAACATTTGATTAGGAGATAGATAGATAGATAGATAGATAGATAGATAGATAGATTAGCAGGATTTAGATAGATAGATTGATCCCCTAGCAAAGAAGTGGTGGTCAATATCAAAAATTGTAAAGCAACTCAAAAAATTAATATGGACTGTCTGGTGCCAAATTTAGGAAAATTGTTGGTTTCCTTACTGAATCAATGCAATATCAACATTTTATTAGACACACTGGTTAATTTGACTGTACAGAAATCACTAAACGTTGCCTTGTACAAGCTCCATGTTTGCTTCCAAGTAGTTTCTCTAGGCATTTAAAAAATTAAACTTTGAAAAATAGGACAATGTTTCCAGTAAATTTAGTGCTGTTCCAGCGTCACACAGAACACATTTCTATACAGAGCTGAAAAAATATTTGTAATTAATAACCTGGATTATAAACACAAGTTAAACAGGCAATTTAATTAAATTCAGATGCACTGTTGATAATTTTCCCTGAAGAATTGTCGGGATAATCAGTTGCAGCTGCATCTTCATGTATAGAGGAAAGTTTTGTACCCTTCTCAGTGAAGAATTAGATGGGACCAATTCAGGTTCACAACGTCGTGATCGCAGGCACATTTATCACTGCACGAAGATGAAGAAAATGTCTATTTTGTTAAATAATTAAAATTCAGATAGTAAAGGAGAGCTCCATATTGGGCTATTTTGATTTGAAATAATGCAAGAAGATGAAGCAGGGAGTTCAGAAATCCTGGTGGATGAATGTGATTTGCCCAGAAAGTACTGGTGAACAAACATATCCATGTTTTGTTCTGCTTGTCTCTCTGTGGGGTACTGGTAAATCATTGTTTCCTTTGGCGTACCTTTGTTTATGAACGCCTCGGTTAACGTAATTTTTGGTTTATGAATGAAAATCCATAAAAATAATGGCTCGGTTTACAATTTGTTTTTGCAATGCAAACAGATTATTTGGTTTTCAATGCATTTACAATTTTTTTTGTCCCTGTACAGTACTATGCCTTTAAAGTGCACTTTATAAAGCGTTTTGAACAGATAAAAACTTTTTTTTACTTTTTTCTGACCTCCGGAGCGGATTCATTGGTTTTCAATGCATTTACAAATTAATTCTTAATCATGTCCCTGTACAGTATTTGCACCTTTAAAGTGCACTTTATAAAGAGTTTTGAACAGATAAAAGACTTTTTTTTACTTTTTTCTGACCTCCAGAATGGGATTAATTGGTTTTGAATGCATTCCTATGGGAAATCGCGTTTCGGTTTATGAATTTTTCACATTACAAGAAGTCCCGCAGAACTAATTAAATTAGTAAACCGAGTTACACCTGTACTTTTAATTAGACCAAGGACATCATAAAAGATCAATATTTTTCCCCATAACCCCTTTAAAACCCCCCCGTACCTTAGTACATGTGTACTTTAAGTATTCCTGCACCCCATTCATCCCTCCAAGTGCAGCCTAAATGGTCAAATACTTACACCCCCTCTATTACAGAGATCTTTACTGTGTGACCCCATCTGATGCTGTACAGCATTTGCAATGAAAACATCCCCACATTCTTACTGCATATGTGCATCCCAGCCCCATTCATGCTGGACAAAATGGAGGTCACCATAATTATAGCTTCCCCAGAGGAAAAAATGGGGTCA